CCCCCTTCCTGCAGCTTTGTTTCCCAGCCACAAAGTGGAAATTAAAACAGTCAGTGTGGGCACAAGGGCTTTGAAAAGCTCAGCGGGATGATCTGCACCAAGGGGAGCCCAGAAGAGAGATGGGATGGGACCAAGGACCAGCGTCAGAGCTGTGCCTGGATCCCAGCTGCTCCAGGGCAGGACCATGAGATGCTGCAGCCACCCCCCCGAGCAGAACCCGACCTGACTGTGGGCTTACAGCCGGGCTGGGCGGAGGTTTAGCAGCGGTGTCTGTGGAGGCGATGGGGTGAGGTTTTCAGGGCTCAGCACCCCCCTGCAGCCCGAGGGTGCATGCCCCCGACCAGCCTTACCTCGGTCTGCGGAGAAGGACGTCAGCAAAGATCACCTCTCTTGGGTCCTTTGCGCTTTGTTGGAGGGCCTGGATGCTTCTTCTCAGCTCCCCGATCTCCTCCTCCAGGTCCTTAATAATCTGAAGGAAGGACATCTATTCTGAGAGTTCTCCACTTTGCAACAGAAGCAGGAGTTAAAGTTTCGGAGATTTTGCAAACAGCAGAGCTGGAAAACATCCCTCGTGCAAGCCAGCCCCTAAGAGGCTTCCTGAAATACTGTGGGACCACTCGTCCTCAGGCTGTCCCAAAGCCCCCCGACCCCGGGGGAACGGGAGGCACCCCACGGAGGCAGCACAGTCCTCACCGGGGGTGGGGGCTCTGTGCCGGTGCTCCCCCAGCCCACTCACCTGCCTTTCCCGCAGTATCGCCCCGCGCAGAAGGTGGTTGTTTATAACCATCTCCTTCAGGCCATCCTGGTCCAGCAGCATCTCCTGGGGGCAGGGGGAGAGGAGAAACCAGCTGAAGGAGCTCCCCAGTAACCCCCAGCATGAAACCCTGCCCCTGCTGGGTGCCAGGGCTGGCCGTGTCCGGATGCCTCACTCTTCGGGGAAACGATTTCTGCTCCAACACTCTGGGTCCTGCTCTGGAGAGAGGCTGTTGTTGGGATCACATCACACTGATTATGGAACTCAAGGGATACAGTTCAGCTTCCCTGGGAAAACTCATTAATATAGTTTGGGTCACTTATACCACCTGTGGTTACAATTCACCTGGAGAAGGCACAGCAGCATCAGAGCAGCTGTAAAACATCAGTAATTAACGTTTCTTGGTGCTCTCGAGCTGCTAGCCCAGGAAAAGCGCTGAGCAGGTCGTGCGAGCAGGAACCGTGCAAGAGGAGTTCCTCCTGTTTTGGGAAGAACAGCGGTCCCCGCTCTGCGTGTAGTTCAATTTCCTCCTGAATTTATTGCAAACACGTGTGCGCTACCCCTGCCGTGTCCCAGCCGATTAGGGGAGCAG